GATCTCCGGGCGGTCGAACTGCTGGAGCATGTCGAACACGCCCTGCAAACTGCAGGAGTGCGACTGCTACGTGGCGATGACCGCAGCAAAGGCCTTGGGGCTACCCTCGAAGCCATATCTGGGAAGGACCACCTTCCTCGGCGTCTAACCGCTGCCGGCGGCTTGGCTTCCGGCATCTTTTGTGGAGCCCGTGAAGTGCTTCAGGCAAGCGTCTGAACCGTGAGGAAGAGCTTCTGCCGCTCGGCGCTGAACTTTCTGGGCTCGCTCTGCCTTTGCCACAGCTGAGAGACGACGACGATCTGCGACCGTGGAGGGACGCAGAGATGCGTGGAGCACCGTTCGACTTGAGCTGCTGGCCGAAGAGCTGCGACCAACTCCTCAGTCGCCACAAGACACGGTGTGGCTCATCGACACATCCTGCACGATCTTTGAGCATTGGTCCTTGCGCTTTTGCTGGAACTCTGGGTCGGAGAAGCCCTGCAACAAGTCGCGCCTTAGCTGCCAATCGCGCATAAGTCTCTGACTATGCCACGCAGCCCGCAGTTCATGTTTCCGCAGCCTCTGCCTGCCGAGGTGCTGAAGGGCCAGAGCCTGCGAGATGGAGAGCTTTGGTGGCTCGGGAACGGCCACCTTCACCTGCAAAGCAAAGCATAGGCCGAGGCAAAGCTCATCGAAGCTCATTTCACATCTGCCCACCTCCGGCTTGCTGCGCGGCTCCAGGCTAGCCTCACCACACAGATCACAGAACAGAGAACCTTCTTGAGGGAAGCGATGCTCCTGGCGCCTGCAAGCTCTTCTCTGCAGGCACATCTTCGGCTGGCTCTTCGCCTGCTGGCCTCGGAAGCAGGTCCATGCGAGAGCACCTGACACCATGCTCGACGAATTCGACGAGGGCGGTGCCGCAAGCTCGGGATTCCCAGCACCAGCAACGCACGGCGACCGTTCAGCTTCTCGTTGTCCTGCAAGGATGGAGAAGGTGTGCAAGATCCGGACAGCACCACCCTTGGCCTTGAAGGAGGAGAAGGCACCGTTCTCGCCGACAGGCTGCACCAAGCGGCAAGACCGCAGCAACTCGGGCTTGCCCAAGTGCGCCACCAAGGCCTCGCTGGTTCCCGAAATC